AATCTTCAAACAAATCGTGGACAGTCTGGATCGCGGGGTCGAAGGTGGACAGGAGAGGGCCGTCGCGGAAACGCCAGTGACGGTAAATGGCGCTGCGGCCTTCCTTCGCGGTGCCGGGGACGGGCACTCCGTAGGGGGAGCCGGGGGGCGGCGGAGTGGCCAGCTCCTGTATGTATGCGGCGGTGTCTTTCGGAGCCATCTTCGCAGCGGATGTTTGCTCTCTGTGGTAGTGTTGGTTGTGGTTGGTGGTTGGTAGCAATTCGGTGCTTACGCGGTGCGTCGATCCGCTAGGAGCTGGCTGCCAATTCGTGGAGAAGGACGGTTTGGCGAAACACGGTATCAGAAAGGATGGGATTTCTGGCCCTTTGGATCCTTCTTAGTTGAAGCAATCACACGTGAAGACGACGTAGGCAGGTCGAGGTAGGGAGGAGGTGGGAAGCAAAAAAAGAGTTGAAGATGGGAAGAGACGAAAAGGTTAAAGGCGCCGAGCAGGACAGTTGAGACCAAGGAGGGGGGACCTGTCTTGTCCCGTTCTAGGCTTTGGCACACAGCAAAAGAAGGCGATTCTAAGCAGCACCAAGGTTCCTCCGGTTCTGCAAGCTCCCCTAGGTAGGTCGTGTCTAGCTAGCAATAGAGTAGAGAATCGGGGGGAAATCCAATGAAGGAAGCCGAGTTTGAGAGCGTGGACCGAGGCACAGGTTCCTAGAAAGGCCAGGGTGACCCAAAGGCCCTCGGTAACCCCAGACGATGCTGCACTAAGGGGGCATCTACAGCGCCTGATAGGTCGCAGGATTCCGCCAAGGGGGGCGCTGGACCTCTTGTGGCTTGCGGGGGTGCTGGAGCGCTGGGGGAGAGCACGGGGGGCTGGCAGGCCGCAGCGGAGGCACTGGGAGCTGAAGCTGGGGTGCTGGGTCGGACATTCAGGAAAAATGGGGACGGCGACCCGTGATGACCTCACAGTGAAGTGTCCACGTGGGTTGACGCGCTGCTGTTGGGTCTGTACATGCGCGTTGGTACGCAGTGGAAAGCATCTTGATATGCAGGACATGTTCTCGAAGACTGGAAGAAATGTTCGAGGCGATCCACTACAGCCCATTACTTCAATTATCACAACACAGGCTGCCTTGCACAGGAGCTGGGCGTTACAGCTATTGCGTCCCCGTGCACTTTAATGGGTTAATATCGCATTATCGAATACAACGTCGCAGGGAGCTGAATAACGACCATCGCGGCTATTCGCATTTGGCGGGGCCGCACCGCCAATAAATCGGGAGCCGTCATTTAACGAGAGATTGTGACAAGCCGATCCCCGCCTGCGCGTCGTCTCGTCCGTCTCCGTTCGTCGGGCTTGTCCAAATCCCGTTTACTCAACACCTCGGCCGACGAAGCCGAATTCTTGACTTTGCCATCTCTCACGGCATTGATGTTGGTGCATGCGGAAATTCCCATGCCCACAACACAGAACCTCACTGACTAAATCTCCATGACGAGATCAAGTCGACCTGCATGCGCTAACAGTGCCGCGGTAGCTCTCTAAGAAGCACACACTGACTAGCGTCGCCTGTCACATGCCAGACGCAGCCCGACATGCCGGCCAAGTTCACCTGTCTGGTTCCGGGCGGAGGCCATTGGACGCCGTACCCGAACAGACCGAAAAGGCCGGGCTCCACCTGCCTCGATCCCGCCTTGACGGTGCGCGTGCGGCTTGATCTGCGTCTCGTGAAGGCCATTTGAATGTTGTTGAAAGTGGCTTGCGGCTGATCATTGGCCGTCCTCCGGATGGAATGCACGGAAGATGATGTCCATGTTGAGGCACATTCTGGATGCTGATTTGCGCTCGCTTTTCAGCCAATAGCCTAATTCACCTTTGGCTGGCCGACGCATGGCTGCACCGATTGGCCACGTTCTTCATCTTCGTCCAAACCGAATTAGAGCTGCTTGGCTCATCAATGGATAAGTCGGCTGGAAAAAGTATGCCGTGATGCGTGACTTTGACAGTCATGCACAAGTGCCAAACGACAACAAAACGACGTCCTCATCAGAGTCGTCATCGCCCGCGGACGCGACAGCTCTTCATTCATACACATGGAGCGATCCATGACTGCGCCATCAGCAGCAACCTCAAACGGGAGCAGCAGCACTCTTGTACGCTGTGCCGACTTCGCGCCGACGTGGACTATCAGCGGCGACAGATGGCTGTGATACGTCGACAGCGGGTACAACGGCGAAGGGGAAACAGTAGACAAGTGTCTGCGTTTTGGATAGCGTCTGATCAGGAAGTGATAGGTATTGAAGCACACGCTCTGAGCCTCAGGCCTGGGATGACTCGTGAGCGCCTCGGGATGACACAGCGTAGGCCAGCTGTTCACTTCGGCCGGCCAGTTTTCTGCCAAAAGTCGGAAACACCTAGAGTCGGGGTCCCGTGCCGTGCCAAAGAAGGGAGGGACTTGGTGGGAAAAGCCAGACATGTCAGGCTGACGGTTGGCCTTGCCAGGTCAGGGCTGCCACAGTATATATGGTATGCGGTAGCGGTAAATCTCCGTGGAAGCTTTTCTCGTTTCCTTTTGCGTGTTGCTCCGATTCAGGTGATATTGAAACGGTGGAAGCAGGTAAAGGCATACTTCGCGAAACTTTTTCGGATATCGAGCTGGGCTCTTTTCGGTTGGCAACATGAGCACGACGCAGTTCTGGGCAGACCAAACCCACTCGTCTGCAATGCATCACAAAGACTTCGCTGCGGCAACTGCAGCAGCAAGGCAGACTCTAGACCAGGTGCCAAGAGGTCGAGTGCTGCGTTGAGGCTCTACGGGTGGCAGAAGTGGACGCTCCGGCAGTGGCCAAGACCTTGGAGAGCAAGTCCGAGGAATGCCAACACTTCTGCGCATCGGTTGAGAAACCCCATACAATCGGCATCAGGGGTGGACGATGGGCGGAGAGCGTGCATGCTAAGCAATTCCCAAGACCGTTTGACAAGTTGAATGGTGAGGCGAAGGTTTGGCAGAGTCGCAATGTCGGGGCTGGCCAAGTCGGCAGACAGAGCCGCTGTTGCAACGAGTCGTGACACGGCTGGGGAATGGTCTTGGAAGGGAGTCAGAAAGGAGGCTCTAGCCAGTGTGTGGTATGTGTAAGCAGCGGAAGAAGCCAGCCAAGCACAAAGGGAAGCAGAATCGAGGTCGAGGGAGGTTCCTTGGCGATCTGAGTATCGGACTGAGACTGGAAGTCTTGTGCGGCGTCTCAAAAGCTTTTTTAAGAAGCAGCGGGCAGAAGCGAGCGTGGGAAACTTGGGCGGCACCCTTGGCGGTGTAACGTCCGCCGTGCGTTGGGGCGACGATCCCACCAAACCACCAAACACACACCAGGGCAACAACTACTGCGGCAAGCAGCATCTCATGAATCCTCGGAGCTATTGCGTCGCCAACAGGCAGGCCCCTTCGATTGCTTCGTCGCCTTCCACCCTCTTCGCATGTTTGTCTTGGCTTCTTCCCTGCTGCCCCGGACGCGCCTGACAGGGTTCCATGACAGCCCACAACCCGCCCGCCTCTGCGAATCCGCTTCCTTTAGGCCCTTGGCCAAAGGGGGGTGGACCTGGCAGTGAGGAAACATGGCCCGTTCGGACATTTCTTCCCCTAACATACCTTACCTTGGTCGAGTTTGTACTTGCACCTCGCCGTCGCAAGTGTGACCTACTGCCTTATCTCGAGATCACCAGTACCCTCTGCTAGTCTTGTTTGTTTCAACGCCCACAATACGAGATGGTTGTCGTCGAAAGTTCGGTGACACATGCTGGGTCCCGGACGAATCATGCTTGGCATCTTGAGACTCGCTGGTCTTCAGCTTCAAACCCTCCGACCGACGAGGATACCATTCTGGCGCCCTAGCGTGCAGAATGCAGACAGCACTACCTTACTGCGTACACTTGCAGCCTGCCTCTGCCTCTGCATCTGCCTCTGGGATGGGAATCTCTCTCGCACACCTGCGTTTCTCAATCTGAACATCACTCGCTTCAGCCCTCTGAATCCGCCCCAAGTTCGCGGTCCTTCATCCGCAGCACACCATCGCGGAGTGTGCTGCCGATGCAAAGTATGGCAAGAGGAACGAACTACTTCTGCTAAGAAGGCGCAAGCAACTCACGAACAGGCCATGCAAGGTTAATTCGGCTTCCTTGCTGGCGCTTTTGGCCGGCCAACATCGCCCTTGCTGCACATCGTCTCCTCTACTCCGTATGCAGACGTAGCCGCTCTTGCGCCGCATCGCGTCCTCGCATCGCCGATCATCCCCGCCAAAAAAGTCAGAGGTGCTGCTCTTGTCGTCCGACATGTGTGGGTTGTAAGCGTGTTGCGCACGTCTCCATCAAAAGACGGTAGTGTAACCCAGATACACTACGTGGATACGGAGGTTACGATACCACGTACGAGTCCGCCACGAGGCCTGCGAGCACCTCTTCAAGACCAGCCATCCAACCAACTGCCTCGCGCCAAGCCGTAGTCCGGCCCTCGAAGGGAGGCTCTGTTGCTTCCTGCAGCAGGATTGGCTGCCGGCGCTAGCCTGGGAACCCTGCTACACACCATCTTGTTCTCTCGCAGTGCATGGCGACGGTCCAGGGGAGTCCCGTTTCAGATGCATTTCAAAAGTCTCAGGCCGTGCATTGCCCAGCGAGAACCCGACTCTTGGGCGTCCAGTGATGACTAGAGCCGCGACTACATGTCCCGCCTCTCAAACACCCAGACAGGGAGCAAGATGGGACTGCCTGTCCATACAAAAGCATAACTGATTTCCCCTCTTTCATGCTGCGGTGCCTTTTTCTTAGTGCTTTTCCCGCTTGACTGTTTCCACGCATTCTCTCTACTTCATACAACCTACTTCTCTTCTTGAACAGCGCACTGGGGGCAGCTTAGATTTTATAACTATACCATTTTTATCTTTCCCTTCTTTCTCTACTACCCTTTTCCTAACGATACCTACGACTCTACTTCAACGAAACGATAACGAATACCGACAAGATGGGTCTTATTCTTCCTCTCCGAATTGTTCAGGGTGTCTTCTCGTTGGTGATTCTGGGTCTCTCGGCCTATGGTATGTGCTGAAGCGGTGGTGGTGGTTGTTGCTGGAACTAAAAGAGCTGACTGTGTGCGTGCAGTCGCCAACTGGTACAACATGGACACGATGACGTCGTCGCCCTCTCAGATCAACTTCCTGGTCTTCGTCCCTCTCTGGTCTTTCATCTCGATTGCCTACCTCGAGGTGGTCCCCAAGTTCGCTCCTAGAGGTAAAGTTCACTGATACAGAAAAATGGTGTCACGTTCAAACTAACGTGTCCGGCAGCTTCTCATCCCTGGGGCGCCGTTGCGTTCGAGCTCCTGAACGTTCTGTTCTACTTCGCCGGCTTCATCGCCCTCGCCGTCTTCCTCAGCAAGCTTCTCTTCTGCCGTGGAGCCGTCTGCGCCGCTGCCCGTGCCGACACCGTCCTCGCTTCCCTCCAGTTCGCCCTGTGGTCCGTCACCGCGCTGCTGATGGTCAAGGACGTCTTCAAGTCGGGGTTCCGCAAGCCCACCGCCGCTGGCCCCCCTCCTCAAATGAAGGAGTCTGCGTAAAGTACTACTCAGACTCCTTCAAGTTTAATCACGTCGCCCTGGCAGAGGCCAGGCGTGAGGCGTCCGTCGAGCTAATCAGAGCAAAGAGGATGCCATCGTGGGACCGGAAGAGCGATCGCAAGCAAATTTGGGAAACCGATCAGAAGCGCATCTACGGCCCGGGATTTAGTGAAGTGAGCCTTGTCTAGATGACGGGCTTCACTCGGATTGGGGTTCAGGAGAACAAACTTCATGTGTCACAGCGCGACACTGTATTGGGAAAATTACGTGCGGACCGGATATACTTGGATTTTTTTTTCGGGTTGGCTATCGATTCGACAAGGACGTAGATGCTATTATTACTATTCTGGCTCCGGCCTGTATTCATTCCTTCCCATTCTCCGAGCCTGAACTTGTGTTGTCCGTGGCAAGTGCTAGCCAAGGCCATCAGATAACTAGTCTATCGTCTGCTACAGCTACTCTGTAAAAGTTGCGAACTCCTTCTGACATGTATTCTAACTGTCATCAAATAAATGATGCTGAAGGTAACAACTTCAACATCCGGACAGGGTACCCAGCGGCTATTGCAATGACCCAAGCCTAATTGGCCGGCCTGTTGCTGCAGACCCATCTGCAGTGCAACGGTGGGCTTGTGGGGGCGCTTGGAAGAATCCCGACCACCGGTGGCTGAGTGGACGAACACCAATGCACGTTATTGACGTTGTCTACATTCTCATGCCTCGCAAGCATCATCGCCGGGCAGCGCGCAGATCGTTCAGGAGAACGTTCTCTTGTGAGTGACCCTGATAGCCTACTTCAGGGGATCGGTGTCAGCTGTTCTTTCCCCCCAGACCTGTCATACCTTGTCTCCGTGCATAATCGCCCGACTCGAAGACGTGTCTTGAATCAGCCCTACTGCAGAGACCTCATCCTAAGACTTAAACACGAAGGCAATGCGAAGCCAAACCCCGGTGACCCAACAAATACTCTGCATTATTTCCGCCGGAACAGAACATCAATTCCCACTGGAGGAACTCGGGGCAGGCTAGGAAGCTATTGTGGGGAGGCGTTCTTCCACGACAACACCCACCGAGCCACCGACCGACAACCGCATCGCGGCATCGTGGGTCCACTGCGGTAGCCGGTGACCGGACACGATCGTTGTCAAGTCGCCGGTTCGCTCAGTCTCCAGAAGCCGTCAGGCGGAGCGAGCCGCAAAAAGACACGAAGCGCCCATATGCAAACATCGGACTGCATCATGCTCTCGTACTCCCACGTAAGAAAGCCACAATGACCAGATCTGACCTCGCTCTTCCAAATACAATCTGCATGAACAGCTCGGTCAGCCACGCTCACCAACCACGAGGACCTCCGCGGCCGGTGAGCAAACCCAAACTTTCTCCAGCGTGTGGGCGAAAGCCCCTCAGTGGGAGCGCGACCCCTGCCTTCTGCCCCGCAAAGTGACATTTGAGCGTCGATTGCGTGCTCTGGCCAAACCCCACAGCCCTTTGCCTAAATCGGCGCCAGTTCAACCTCACGCTCGCCTTTGCGCGGGATACTTTTTCGTTGCGCCCAGCACCCCCAACTGCGACAGCAGCGAATGACCAATTGATTTTTCCCAAGCAACCAAAAAGCTCTGATGGGGCACCCAAGCTACCGGCTGCTACCTCGTCTGGGAAAAGAGCAGCAATTGGAGGGGCCGACAAGGGGTGTGAAGGACCCCATGTCATTCCCTCTTGCGCAAAGAGATAGACGATTCATCAGTAGAGGTCAATATTGTATGTAAACAGACCAGCCTATGGTGCGATCTCCCCTCAATCGCATCATCGTAGCCCAGCCCTCCCAGTCTATTCGGGTAATCGGTGCCCCGTCTCTCGTTCCTCTGGTCATGTCTCCGTTGCCGGCCCTGTCGTGTCTCTGAAAAGCTGCCGCCATTGCTTTTTTAACGAGACACACTGGTGCTAGAAAGTTTCTCTTCCCCTCCTCCTACGTACTCATCCTCCCACACCCTTCACAGGACAGAAGCAACCATGGCCGACGAATTGAGCAAGAACTTTGAGACTCTCCAGCTCCATGCGGGGTACGTCGATGTCTTCCCTGCAGACTGAGCTACCTGATGTTTAAGCTCTGGAGCTATCGATACTGACGGACGAACTACACACAGCCAGGAGCCGGATCCCGCGACCAACTCGCGCGCGGTCCCAATCTACGCGACAACTGTTCGTAACCCCCGCGACGAGAAGGTCCGTGAAGCTTCGCATAGCTAACGTCAATTGCAATGTAGAGCTTTACTTTCAATGACTCCGCCCACGGCGCGAGGCTCTTCGGCCTCAAGGAGTTTGGCAACATATACAGCCGTATTATGAACGTACGTCGCGCCTTGTTCCTGTTCTAGCCCCAATGACGACCGCTCTGACATTTCCCTTTCCCAGCCCACCGTCGATGTCTTTGAGAAGCGCATCGCGGCCCTCGAGGGTGGTGTTGCCGCCCTGGCCACTTCATCAGGACAGGCTGCGCAGTTTATCGCAATCAACGCTCTCGCCCACGCCGGCGACAACATCGTCTCTACCTCCCTCCTCTACGGCGGCACCTACAACCAGTTCAAGGTCTTCCTCCCGCGCCTCGGCATCCACACAAAGTTCGTCGACGGTGACCGTGTCGAGGACATTGCCGCCGCGATCGACGAGAAGACCAAGGCCGTCTACGTCGAGAGCATCGGAAACCCCAAGTACAACGTTCCCGACCTGGAGGCGATCGCCAAGGTTGCGCACGAGAAGGGCGTTCCCATGATTGTAAGTTATCACTCTCACTGCGACTGAGCGCAGAGAACTAACCTGGTTATGCAAAGGTCGACAACACCTTTGGCGCGGGAGGCTACTTCATCCGCCCCATCGAGCACGGCGCCGACATCGTCGTCCACTCCGCCACCAAGTGGATCGGCGGCCACGGCACCACCATCGGCGGCGTCATCGTCGACAGCGGCAAGTTCAAGTGGGACAACGGCCGCTTCCCGCAGATGACGGAGCCCTCGGACGGCTACCACGGCCTCAAGTTCTGGGAGACCTTTGGCCCCATCACCTTCATCATCCGCGCCCGCGTCGAGATCCTGCGCGACCTCGGCGCCTCCCTGAACCCCTTCGCCGCCCAGCAGCTCATCATCGGCATCGAGACCCTGTCCCTCCGCGCCGAGCGCCACGCGCAGAACGCCCTCGCCCTCGCCAAGTGGCTCGAGGCCAGCCAGTACGTCAGCTGGGTCTCGTACCCGGGTCTCGAGAGCCACCCGTACCACGAGACGGCCAAGAAGTACCTCAAGCGCGGCTTCGGCGGTGTTCTCAGCTTCGGCGTCAAGGGCGGTGGCAGCGCCGGTAGCCAGGTTGTCGACGGGTTCAAGCTGATTTCGAACCTGGCCAACGTTGGCGACTCCAAGACATTGGCTATCCAGTGAGTTGCTATCCCGCGATACTTACCATGGAAAGTAATGACTGACACCCCGCAGCCCCTGGACGACCACCCACGAGCAACTCTCCGACGAGGAGAAGATCACCTCCGGTGTCAGCGAGGTAAGTTCCTCATATGCTACCAAGGCCAACAATCCCAGTGCTAACAATCCGCCCCGCAGGACCTCATCCGCATTTCGGTCGGCACGGAGCACATTGACGACATCATTGCCGACTTTGAGCAGTCCTTCAGGAACGCTGCGGCGGCGACCAAGGACGGCAAGGTTGCGGACGCTGCGGAGACGAAGAAGGACGACGCACCCTTGGCGCCGTAGGTGTGATGCTCTAACACCAAAAAGGCGAAGCATAGCGTGCCTCCTGCGAAAGCAAAAGGGGAATATTTTGGATACCCAACGTTGTTATACTGGATGAATTGTATGAAGAATACCCGTAGAAAAAGCAACGTAATCTCTGTCGTTTGAAACATGGCACCATTCCGCATTCTTTGTAACAAGGATAAACAGGAGAAATCCTCCCTCTTGAAACATGATTGTCGTCGCCATAGACAACTCATGTTCTGAGTGAAGGGGGAACAAGCCAGAGGGGAGACTCCCGGGCGTGGCAACTCACTTCCTGTAGCAACTAAGGCCCCGCAGGCATTTGACAATCTAACCGCCGCAACGCCACAAAAATTCCCGCCATATCCAAGCAGGAAATCCTCAAGCTAGAGCTTGCGGTAAATAGACAGCGATCGAAAGGCGTTAGCTCACCCTCCACCGTTCTCCAAAAGACACAAGCTTGCAAGAATGTGAAAGTCCAGCCCGCGATAGACGACGATGGAAAAAGCCACGGGATCGTCGTGATTGGCCACCGTTCATTCCCCAGGAAGCAAGGGTACCCACCACCACCACCACACACCACCTACCCGCTGGGGTCCCATCCAACATACATCCTCAAGCTTCAATCCTCGTCGTCCGCCTTTCCACCTGCACCTCCGACTTCAACCTCAGAAACCCCTCCCCCCTCCTCCTCCGGCCTTGCGAACCGCTGCCCCTCCTCTAACCTCCTCTCGACTTTTTTACTCTCCTCTTCTTCCGTTACTCTATACCAACGACCTACGAAAAAGCAGCAAACAACCCGAAGAACCTCCCACCGCATCACCACCAAAAACCCGCCAAAATGCGCCTGCAATCCCTCCTCTACCTCCCGACAGCGCTCGCCGCCTCCCTGACCCTCCAGATCCCTTCCTCCCCGGCCCTCCCGAACCCGTACACTCTCCCGCCCTCGACCCGCGCGAGCCTCTCGGCCCTCGGCGCCTCCTTCACCGCGCCGCTCTCGGTACAAAACACCTTCGTCTTCAACAACGTCACGGCGCCCGGATCCTACCTCGTCGACGTCCACTGCGCGACGCACGCCTTCGCGCCCCTGCGCCTCGACGTCGCCGAGGACGGCACCCTCGCCGCGTGGGAGACGTACCGCGGCAACGACTGGGACAACAAGGGCGAGGTGTACGTCTCCAGGGAGTTCGAGAACGGCGCCAAGGGCTTCGAGGTGCGGGTCCTCGGCGGCAAGAACTACTTTGTCGAGAGGAGCAAGTGTACGTTTTCTCTCAGATTTCCTCCGAAGAAAGTAAAGCAAAAGGGCTAACCGTGCGAAAACAACCGCAGTTTCCGTCTTCACCATACTCAAGAACCCCATGATCCTCCTGGGTCTCGTCAGCATGGGAATCTTCATCGGCATGCCCTACCTCATGGATAACAGTACGTTCACGCCCAATTGATGCCATATCTTCACGGACAGAAATCACTAACGGAGGCAAACCTGCAGTGGACCCCGAGATGCGCGCCGAATTCGAAGAGCGCCAGAAGAGCAACCCCATGAACTCCCTCCTTGGCGGCGGTGGCGGTCAACCTGGTGCGAACCCTATGGGTAACTTCGACATGGCCGCCTTCCTTGCGGGATCTGGCGGTGAGAAGAGCGAGGGTTCTGCGCCTGCTCCGTCGAGCGGCGGCGGCGGCGGTAGTGGTAAGAAGGAGAAGGGCGGGCGGAGGTAGTGGTCTACTACACGGAGAGGGGAGGGGAGGTTATGAGGGGAAGACTGCAAGACTTCCGAATACGCTGGCAACAGTAACAAAGAGATTGGTCAAGAGTATTTCCTTTACATATTGATACCTATGGATCTTGGACTGAGATTGGTCCTCTGATCTGGGGACTGCCATGGCGGACACGCTGGCACTTTGATCGACTGGTCAATGGGCTCTGGATCTAGGTCCATGGCATATTATGCCGCTGACTTCGAAAAACCTTGCAAAAGTTCCGCCTACGGATAAGATTATTTGACCCAGGACGAAAAAATATGCGACATATTATGAACATATGAATATAGAACTATACCAGCCATCTCATATCAGAGTCATCAAGGAAACCAAGCTATTACCATGCAAGATTTCTGTATCCCGAGGGGCCCCCCAATTCATCCACAGAGACACCACTCTGGTCTCTTAAAAGTCACCACCAAAATCGTCTCCGCCAAAGTCATCACCGCCGCCGAAATCATCATTGTTATTACCGTCATCTAGACCATCGTCAGTAACTGGTTCTCAGAAGCGTGAAGGGGCTAGAACTTACTGTATCCCTCAGCGTACGCCTCGTGCTGCTCGTCATTAACGTGGTCCGCAAGCAGCGCGCCACCAAGCAGACCGGCACCGGCACCGAGCGCCAGACCACCGGCCATGCCCATACCGCCGCCGCCGGGCCTCTTGCCGCCTGCCATCGCCTGTCCGCGGCCGTAACCCCCGTAGCCCTGCTGCTGCATTGGATACCCGCCGCCGCCGCCGTAGCCTCCATATTGCGGCTGTTGCGGGGGGTAGTAGCCGCCCTGCTGAGGGGGATAGTATCCTCCCTGTTGGGGCGGGTACCCTTGTTGGGGGTATCCCCCATACTGCGGCTGCTGAGGCGGGTAGCCTCCGGCGCCGCCGTACTGTCCTTGGCTGCTGCTTCCGGTCTTAGTCTTGCCCAGCAGCTTGCCAAGGAAGCCGCCGCTCTTGCCACGCTCCTGCACGCGCGGGGGCAGCTGCTCGGGGAAGGGGGACTGCGGCTGCTGGTGCTGCTGCTGCTGCAGGCCGTAGCCGGGGGGCATGGGGGAGTGGGAGCCGCGGTTGCGCTGGTCTTCCTCGGCCTGGAGCTGGCGGGCGAGGCGCTCGTCTTCGGACATGGCGTTGGAGGGGCCGCCGGCGCCGCCGGCGCCAGGTGGTTGCGGGGTCGAGCTGTGGTTCTCGTAGGGGTTCGGCTTCGCGTCGACGGGGTGTGGCGCGGGGCCGTCGCCCGGTCTCGGGGCGTAGCCCGGGGGAGGGCCGTCTGGGTGCTCACCGTCCGGGGGAGGAGGAGGGGGCAGGGCTGGTTCGGTGGGCTTTTCCCATTGGGACTGCTTTGTGTGGAGGTTTACGTAGAACCTGGTGGTAGGCGCGGGGTTAGTTTGGTGCGATTTGCTTCGTTTGAGGGGATTGGGGACAAACCATTCTTTGTACTGGTCGTTCCAGCGGGCGGTCCAGCCGGGAGGGACTTCTGGGGCCTTGGGAGGCGGGGGGCCGGGCGGGGGAGCGAAGTTGTCGGCCATGTGTACTGAAGGCTTTGGTTTGCGACTGTGGTGTCGTCTGTGATTGTATGTGTGTGTATGAGGTCGAGGGTGGATGTCTGATGTCGCAGGCGGGAAGAAAAGTTGGAGGCGAGCTTTAAGCTTTCGGGGGAGGGACCAAAGGCTTGAAGAAGGGTTCTTTTTCGGTTTTGGATGGGAAAGAGGGAAAAAGAGGACGGGGTGTCAAGTGTCAGGTGTGTAATGGAGGCGCAATAGGTTGGGTACTTGAGCTGGCGCGGGAGACCGGGATTACGTCTTCAGTTTTAAACGCACTTAAGGTCCAGGTAGATCGGTACCCTCGTGGCTTGTACGGGATAGTGCCTACGTATGGACACGAACCAATGGCGCCCCTCCGCGGCAGCCGGTCTAAGGTTCTTTGATGATATGGACCTTCCATACAGGTAGGTAGGGAGGGAGGGAGCCCTGAAAGGAGGCGATGCGGCTGTGGCTCACAGCACACCTCCTTAGCTTTCGCCTGCTATTCTGACTGATTTGATTTGATTTGGCCCGACTGGATTCAGTGGAAACCAAACAAAACAGCACCTAGCAACTTCTGGAACGGAAAGTCGGGAGACACGGTGATGGATGGAGCTGTAGGGGTCTGTCCTCGGCAACGAAAGCAATTAGCGCCCCCGTCGCCATTTGCCTTCCATCTCTCGCGCTCAGTACGTGATTGGGGCCGCTCTCTCTCCCCCGCTCATTTTCCCTCTGGGCTTTTGCTTGAGCTGCGACCGAGTCTTGGCTGCCTCACTCCGCTGCGACGGACGTGATGCGAGATGCTGCGAAATGGCATAGCCCCTCTTTCGCTGCTGGGAACCTTACCTACCCGCCCCGCCGCCACGACACTGCACCAGCCCTGGAGCTCTCTACTGCCCCTCCCTCTCCAGTGACCCGACTGCTTCCATTTAGCTGGCCCCTTGGCTTGTAGGTAAACTCGCCTGGGCATCTGCTGCTGCTGCTTCCCACTGCGACCCGGGACGCCGGAGAGCCGGCACGAAACCGCAAGTCTCGCCCATGTATCTCGCATGCGGTCTCCCGCACAGGAGATACCGGCAGAATACGTCATCGCAGGAACCCTGCTGCATGCTCCCCCAAAAGCTCGACTGGAAACGTCTCGCACAGGCCATGCCCCTCACCGCGGGGATCCACGAGTTTGAACCCCTCCGACAACCTCCAGCCAATGCTAAGCTCCAGTGTCATCACACTCGCAGTCGCTGATGCTGCCTGTCTGCCTGCCTGTCTTTGCATCTCGCGATGGCCCAGCCTAGAGGGGCGAGAGGCAAAATGCAAACTGAACGTACATGGAATTCTAAGTAACAAGCTGAATACTGTGGCTGGTGCTCCCACGGTCTCGTCCAGATCCCTCTAGAAGCTCTGACAACAGTGGCCAGTGGCTGTGGCGATGTCCCAAAGTCCACGCACCAGGCAACATGCCCAGATGACAGACCGCCATCCCATCCACAAGTATTCTTCCCGCGTGGCGGTGCACATTACATTTCCGCGTTGTGGTGCTGCTACTGTTTTTTGAGAGCCCGATAAACCACCCCTGGGCCCGCTCGGGAAACATTGTAGGTATGTACAGCAAGACATGTCTGCCGGGCATGCTACGATCTTGCTCCGCCCGCCGTGCCAAGACATCCTCCGCCGTCACACAACTAATCCGCCGGGCGTTTGCTGGTTGCCCGTTGCGAATACGTCGTGGCGCAGTCACATTGTTCCTCGCCTTCTACCACCCACACGCCCTGATGTCGAGCTTGGCACTTTCCGACAACGACAGTCTCTTGCATAACGTAGTGAATGAACCTCAGGGTTGATTGATCATGAGCTAAAGGTCCAAAGCGCCAAACTGAAAAGCCAAGCATCAGTGTCTGCAACCAGACAATCTATACCATCTAACACGCTGCATGGGCAAAACTGCGTCCCGCATCCTGGCAGCTGTACAATCTTCTCAATACCGAAAGCAAATAATCAATATATCAAGGCAGGCCCCGTTCGTCCCGCCTATTCCGCTCCCCAAATAGGTAGGCCGCCTCCATGCAGTAGGCGCCCCCTCCGCTGGCCATCCGCCGCTCGCTGCCGTAGCAAATGACCACCGCGTCCAGGATGCCGCTGAGAATACCTTCCATTGCGCCCATAACCGAAAAGCCAATGAAACTGGCAACAAGACCAACCACGTATGCGTACGCCGACCCTCGCACTCCCATGCCGTCCGGCAGCGCGATCCTGACCTGCTTTGCCGTGATAACCCAGCCCGCAAAACCGAGCCCCGTGGCCATAATGAACCGTGTCGCGTACAGCAGCATCTTCGCTAAACGGTACGGAAGTAGAGGAGAGTGGCTGGACCGCCGTGAGCTGAACACTTGCGGTGTCAGGGTCGTGGTTGGCCGCTGCGGCGAGATGAAGTCCATCTGGCTCAACCCTCGAGCAGCCGTGTGAAGGTTCTGCGAGTGGATCGCACCGTACGTGATGGTCATCGGATTCGTGAGCGCTGCGATAGGGGTCGGGATCCACATGGCAGCAACATGTTGGAGGATGTTAGCGAACCTGCGAGGCAGCACGAGAAGAGGCGCCCGGATCAGCAGCGCCAGCAGCGTTGACTCGCAGATACTTCCAAAGATGGTCGTCGAAGCGTGGTTGAACGCCGCCGTCACAATCTCCTTCGACGTCGGGGCAGGCGCCGCGTTGCGGTGGAAATACCATTGAGATACCGTCGCAGCCGTCGTCGCTCTCTGCACTGAGTTGATCACCCCGATGGTCCACATGTACATCAGGACGAACCAAATTCCGAGCCACCAGCTAGAGACGCTGATGATGAACCTGGCCAGTCTCCTCGAGAAGTATCCGCCCAAGAAGATCCTCGAAAACATCCACATCCAAACCCACGTCCAGACCACGATGACGGCAAGGCAAGCGAAACCAAGGAGCATCAGAGCCTGGTTGGCGGCAAGGATCCTAGTCGAGAACTCGAGAATCTCGACAGCTTGCCGGATCGCGTGACGGCCCTTGTAAGCCGTGTAGACCCAGACAAACGCTGATATGGCAGGAACCAGGGCAGCCCATCGCATGGCCCTGTCTTGGAAGCTCGCTCCGTGTGTTGAGCCCTCGTAGCTGGAGATGAAAGGGTACAAAGAGAAAGAGAACATGATGATGGGCACCGCAACGAGGATCAGCATCGCAAGTGGTCGGGCGAATGATCGCAGCGCCGCGAGCCATACGAGTGATACGATGATGGAGATAAGCGTATCGACGGCCAGCATGTGGAAAGATGTTTGTAATGTCGTGTAGATGGTGTCGCCCCAGCCCTTCTTAGGTGTGCCAGTGTGAAGCCAGACGAGCACAAATGTAGATACCAAGCCAGCCACCGCGATCAGGAATATCCATGCGAAAAAGGAGTCGTACTTGAAGATCTCCCCCTCGATG